GCCCCCATTTAAAACAATTTTTAAATTAAATTATACTATAAGTACTACTTTTACTACTAGTACTACTACTACTACTACTACTACTACTACTACCACTACTACTACTACTACTACTACTACTACTACTACTACTACCACTACTACTACTACTACTACTACTTCTACTGCTACTACTACTACTTGTACACATTATGAAATGAAGTCTCCATGCGTTTCCAAAGAGTTTTGGAAATTATTACCCTAGCTTTAGCTCCGGCAGCCATTTTCAGCGCACAGTGCATTTCAAGGGATAATCCTACCAAATACCCATTTACCTCAACTGGGCCAAAGGAAAATATTGCCGCGGGGGGGGGGGGGGGGATACTCGAACCGCGGACCTTGTAATCCACATTCTAGTGACACATCCACTCTACCACGGCACCTCTACATAATGATAATACATGTAGTAATACATTTAACAATATGAATGATATAATTATTACAAATTATACTATTATTACTACTACTACTACTAATTATGATAATAATATTTACCCCCAAAAAATCATTTATCAATGAATTGTATCGGGTAGATATGAGGGTGCATGTATCCGGCGTTAGAGCTCTGCTATCCGATACGCATTGAGACACATTAATTTTGACATCAGTTTTGTATTTTAAAGGCATCGTTTAACAAGATGCATGGCCCTATGTGTTATCAGTGTCTGTGATATGGTGTAAAATTGAAGCCCTAAACAATTGCGCTTCAAAATGATCAAGAAGTGCCTCAAAAAGTAAATATCTTTGAGTGACCGGTTTTTAACAAACTCGTTTTTCCCAATAGCCTGTAGTGTTATGAAAACCGTTAGGAAAACGCAAAATTGGTTTCGATTTCCAATCATAAATGTCTTGATAATCAGACAGGCGATCGGCTTGTAAAATTCATGTGATTCCTGGCTGACCTAAAGGCTTACAATCATCATTGCAGCATGAGCTAAATCCATGATTTTGTTTCAGAATCTGAGACAGAGTTACTCGATCCTTTTAAACCACCCCATATACGACAAAAAGCTACGGTTGTTTAGACAAGGTCTCTACAAAGTAAATAGGGAACGCTGCATTTGTTTTGTAGGCATTGTAAGGGTCATACAAGTCAGTAGCACAAGATATAAGTACTAGTGCTTCGTTTGAATAAAAAAGGATGCAACGAGAATTTGCCCCTATAATATACATGTAGGGATCAAGTCTTTTTTCCCTGTTTAGCTACCCGCTATCACCTCACAGTGACAAATTCACCCAGCACGGGTTTACAACGCATCATTTGTTGATGTGCCGGGATCGATTTGGTCTCCAACGGCGGCATTTAGTTGAAGAAAAAGGCATTAAACGAGAATACTTTTCAGGATATGATCTGTTGCTTTTTTAAAAATTAAAATAAAAGAAGAAAAACTGGGTCAACCTGACGAAAGAAAATGGTGTTTAATACTTCCGTGTCTGACCTACTTTATGTTTGCTATACTGTATAAACAGATATCATTTCAACGGCAATACCATGGCCTTGTCAATGCGATTGTGCTTGTATCCTCTTGTGTATTTAACCGGGTGAGTAAACCAAAACTATTCAAAGAACTACTCAAACAGCTTGTAAACTCGACGAAAAAAAGGGTATAGTGTGATATAGTCCTATGTGCACGTGCTGAAACCGTGACACAAATGATAAATTAATTTTCACAAAACCGAAGAAAAGATTAATCTGCAGTTTTGTTGTGACACGGAAAAAAACCCCGTACCATTCCATTTCCAAGAGAAGAATCTTCACAGTATATTTATGTCTCTACAAGATATTTTTCACAGTTTTTACATTTCTTTTAACTTAATTAAGGAACATACTGCTCCTTTTGTTAATTAGTCTTTTATTTACTTCTTTGAGGGGGTGGGGGTTAAATAGGGTTACAAATGGGGCCCTTTATAATACAAACATGTGCGAACAAATTACGAATATACATTTCCTCTATATCTTCGGACATGGCTAAGATTTAGAACAATACATGGACGTGTAAAACCCTGGTCAGGTATTTTCCTGTAGAATAGAATATCGAATAGAATATACAATTTATTGTCTTCTTCCAAAAGAAAAGAAGAAACATTCCATCCAGGTGAATCATATGACATAAAATGAAACAATTTTAGGATTCTAAATCAACATCATATTTGAAGAACCCAGTACACGAGCAGGTTGTATTTGGACAATGCAGCGCAGCAAGGTGTCTACGGGTATATAGGCAACAAACATTATATTTAATAAAAGAGAACCGAAATCACCGAGTAAATGATGTTATAAAACTCTTCAAAGAGATAGAGAGAGAGAGAGAGAGAGAGTGAGAGAGAAAGAGAGAATGAGAGAGACGGAGAGAGAGAGAGAGAGAGAGAGAGCGAGAGAGAAAGGAAGGGAGAGATAGATAGAGAAAGATAGATTTATATATTTGCTCATAAATATTATTCTGTATCTTTTTGTAAACTGAAATATGATAATTTGTGTATTATTATTTATTTACTTGCTCGAGTTATTGAATGTTATTATCATCATTATTTTATGTTTTTATCAATTTGTATTAATTGACTAAAGCATCAGGGCCTAAAATCTATTTGATTATTTCTGTTTCTGTACAATCATTCTGTATTATTTACTTATTCAAGTGATATATTGTTTATGTTGAATGAAATCGAATGAAGTTTACGGGAACAAAGAGTTGTCAAGAGAGTGGGTGCAAGTGTTTGACATAGAGAGAGAGAGAGAGAGAGAGAGAGAGAGAGAGAGAGAGAGAGAGAGAGAGAGAGAGAGAGAGAGAGAGAGAGGGGTAGAGGAGGGGAGAATAGAAGATGGAGTTATATAGATAGATATAGATGTACAGAATTAATGACAATGTTCTAGAGAGAAGGGGGAATAGAGAAAGAGAAAGGGAGAGAGAGAGAAGGAGGGAGGGAATGAGAAAGAAAGGGAGAGAGAGGGAGAGAGAGAAATAAAGAGAGAGAGAGAGAGAGAGAGAGAGAGAGAGAAAAATAAAGAGAGAGAGAGAGAGAGTGGGTGGTAGCTGCGCTTTCATCAGTTGGATCATAATTATTTCAAGGCGGATTGCATGACGAGTGTTCCTTCTTTTGGGAGTGCTTGTATTTCGAGCACAGTTACTCACCTATTTTCCCAGCTCAAATATTTTCCACCTGGCCCACGGCCTTGTCTAATGTGACTGGTTCCGTGCATGTTATCAACACCGGTCTGATCCCATAAACATTCATCTATTTGCCGACCAAAGTCTAACCCTCCGATACGCCCCTACACGCCCCCAAAAGTTGTAAAACCCAGATGACCTGTTTTTTGTTCTCTGTTGATATAGACTAGTGTCACGCAAGTACACTCGACGTAGTTCCAAACAAAGTGCATCAATATTCTTTTGTTTACACATCAAAACGGAATTCGATATAATCATTTAAAGTCCATGGGTGTCGTAAAGGCTTGATTAGGGACTTTTAGATTTGCGTGGACTGATACGTGTGACGTCCATTCAAGGCAGTGCATTAAAAGGACGTCGACCGTAGCAATCCCCATTGTCTTCATGCATATCTAAAAGTCCCTATTGATATATCATTTGGTGGTCATTGACAGAAAATTAAGATGCATGTACGAAGCGAGGTAAAATGCGCTGCACATGATAATGAACATTAGTATTCTCCAGGGTAAGACATTAAGGTTTAGTCGCTTTCCCTCTTTTCAGTAACGAAGAAGAATTTTTTTCCAATTCCTCAGAAAATAACGATAAGGCTGAACATGGTGAATATGTATCTAGGACGGCTATAATGCAACACAGTATAACATCTTCTTCCATATTGAGCGTCTTAAGGAGCTATCGGCCGTCGGCCGTCGGTCTCAAGAAACTTTAGATAATGGAACCACCCCAGTAGACCGACAGTCCATGAGACTTACAACCACTGTGCCCGACCTTGACAACAGTTTTCTCGAGACCGATAGGCCTACTAGACAGACAGCCCTCGAGACTGACAAAATAAAGTAAATTTATAAGGAAATATAGGGGTGAAGAATGTTAAAAAAGGTCCCAGAGATCGACAAGCTAAGACGGACAGTCCACGCGACCAACAAAACGAATCAATGAAAATATCGCTTGATATACAATCAGATATATAGGAAAGAAAAGGAATTTTCAAAAGAAAATCAATTGCAAACATGTCCTTTAAACAGTGGTCGAAATAATTTACTATTACTTAAGTTAGTCCTATATATTTGTCACGTTACTACATCGTCATCAATACCATCATTAACGCTTTTCCTAGATAGAGTAACAAAGTAAACTACAAGGGATATATATTTCTACAGAGTAACATTAAGACTAACCAATACGTATATAATCAGATTTGCAATTTCATCCAAGCAAACCATTTATGAGGTTGCAAATAAATGAGCACGTATTAATTTCATAACAGGTCTTGGCTCATTATCACATATTTTTCATATCCCCTTATATATTTTCTTAACAATAATAATAATAATAATATCGAATATTTAGGAGCGCTAAAAACAATAAGTACCATAACGCATATACGAAAAGAGGACACAAATGTACAGTACAGAAAGTATATCACATAGATCATTGGGGGAAAAGGTGTTTACATAAAGAGCTGACTTACAGAAATAAAACCATCACGTCACTTTTACCACCTCTGGTTTTCTGTCCATTCTATTCGAAACAAAATTTAGATAAACAGGGTCTCTTTATCCAGCTCTGCGGTAAGCAAACTTCTTCAATAGAAGACGACGTGCCTTTCGCCTTCTGCAAATATATAATATTTCATACAGAGACACTTCAAGTTCTTACCTCTACTGCTATTCTTTTTCGCCCTATCTCTTTATTTTCCAATGTCTCCAGCTATGCATACATCATGTACAATCAATCTCTTTCGCAAGGCTGGTCACCCTTTTTCCTCGTGTAAAATATAAGTCCCGATTATTGTGACAGCCAGTCAAGGCGCAGAAAGAGGGAGGGCATCCAAAGAAGCAACGTCCGTAAAGATTAATGAATTTGCATTCGACTCTCAAGACTTCATGGACAGTAAGAACAAGTGAAAGATGCATGACAAATTCGAAGTCAGTGATGCTCCGAGTGGGGACGTCGCAGGGAAAAGTGGAAAGTGGACCACCAACAATCTTCTGGTATCTTGCGTTGTCGTGGCAGTCATTGTCGGAGTCCTGTGCACCGTGTTGACTTTCTTCCTGCATCCGCAGTACAGTCCAAATGGGTCAAGCAGGATGTTTTCCCCGATCGAGAGTGACCCAACCCGACCGCCAACTGTGGAGCCAACAGAGAGAGGCGTTTCGACCCGATCGCCAAGTGTAGAACCAACGGAAGGGGGTGAACCAATGGTACCTTCGACTGAAGCACCAGAGAATCCGACACATACGGTGCGGATCAACTGCCTCCCTGATCGGGACCTCCAGGGAAACCCTGAGGATATCTGCAGGGACAGAGGGTGTCTCTGGAAGGCCACTGAAGCAACCGGTCAGCCACTCTGCAGTTTCCCACACGATTACGGTACCTATCACGTCGTTCGAGAGGAAACGTTTCCTTGGGGGATGAGAATCAGGATGGACAGAGACAGGAAGGTTCCTACATTCTTCGGACAGGATGTTCCTTCATTGGTTGTGGACATCGAGTATCAAACGGAAGACCGTCTTCACTTTAAGGTGAGCATCGCAGTGATGGGGGGGGGGGGGGGTAGATGTAAGTCGATTATGTAATGCATTACCCGAAGCTTTGTGGTGTTGTCACTTACCTGTTATAGTTACTTAGCACTAGATAATCTTTACAAAATTGTTTTCCTTTATAATGGAATAAAAGTTTAGTTACCCCTTCTACGATTAGATTAATGTGAAATGTTGCGCAATCCTCCTACAACAAAGAGTGGACAATAATATATTATTGGCTAATGATAATAATAATGATAATAATACTATTCTGGGTTTATATTACAATGATACATCGACGATGTCTCCTAGCGCTTTACAGATTATTTATTATTTCCCTGGTCATCGGATCCAGGCTTCCCGGTACACAATGTGTGCATATTCTCCTATCACTGGGGAGCATTCTAACCAGGCGCCATGTTACACACGCTTACAGTGTTGAGCAAACTTTCGGAACCTCTCGCGTTTCCATTTATCACATGGATGGAGATCGGGAAATGTATTTTAATGGAATGCCAAAGGACATTAACCCAGCCTGGGATTCAAACCCTCAAGACTTGGATTGAGAGTCAAGAGAATGAACCACTTTACCACGGCACCTAAAAATTCAGCACATTTTTTAAAAATCATCATCAATTGCTTTGCGACGAGTAAGGTTAAGTCATATACTCATTCTGTCTCCTCTCAATGCATTTATGATAAAATGTACAAAGCGCTTCATCGGGAAGAATTGAAATTCGAATATCGCACACAAACGTCAGTCGTATTTATTAACCCCGAAAAAAGACATGTAGTGAATGCAACACTTCGTTTATTGGATTCAAAGTGTGGCCAGCACGTCTCTATTCAACAATAAAAGATGATAAATTCAATATTAGTTGGATAGTGTAAACGGAATACACAATAAATGTCCCAGTTTTATAGCCGACTTATAGTCATAAAGACAACCAATAAGAAGCGAGAGAATATTTCATCGTTATTTCATATCACCCTGGATGGAAAAGAGATGCCCTCATTTGTTGGTGTGGCGCTCCTAGAACTGAGATGCCTGGTAAAATGGAAACATTTGAGATTAGTCCCATGAGGGAACCTGAGAAAGTCCCAGAGCGGGCTTGGAGCACTACCACTCTGGTGTTCGCTTGCCTAGCCATTGCCGCCGTTGTCGGAGTAGCCTGCACCCTCACGACGTACTACCTTCATCCCGACTTCCTCCCCAATCGCGGAGAACCCCCGATCGACGGGTTGCCGACGACCATGACACCGACGGGCATGACAGAAGAGCCCAGCAAGAAACCGACGGAGAGACTGACCAAGAGATCGACCGAGGATGGCATCATCACCATGACGACCACAGAAGACCCGGTACCACATAGCACCCGCATCAATTGCATTCCCGATCGCGACGCCCCAACAGACCCTGAACAGGTGTGCATGGAAAGGGGGTGTACCTGGGAGAGTACCGTGGTGGAAGGCGAACCGTCATGCTATTTCCCGATAACTACGGCGCCTACAAGGTGGTGAGAGAGGAGAGATATGGATGGGGTGTCAGACTGAGGATGGACAGAATTCCGTCCGTACCTTCTTTCTTCAATGGAGATGCCTTAACCATCGTCGTAGACATCGAGCCGCAAACCGACAACCGCGTTCATTTTAAGGTATGGTTTTGCAAGATTGCAACTTTTATCTTCCTCATTTCCACATTCTTGCACCGATTTGGCGATTGTTATGATAAAAAGAGAAAAATGGTGTAACCTTCATGTATCATGTCGTTTTTGCTGCAGAATGATAGCGATTGATTGACAGGAGTGGCGTATAGATCTAGGAAAAATGGCGCCTGGAGTAAATGCCAAACGCCAAACTATCTACGCAACTGTATATTGGCATGAGAGGAGAGAATGTAACCATCCAGCGATATTTTTTCCTCTCATTTTTAACCTTACAAATGCAATTTCTTATTCAGTCTGCCTGTAGGATTTCGAATTTCGAACATTAATAAGCCGTAATTTAATTACTTCTCCCTCAAATGGAATGCAAAGTTAGCAAAAAATACAAAATATGGAGAAACGGCTTGGTTGAGATATTTAGAAAGGTATTAATTAATTCAAAATGCTTAAGCATTGCAAACACCCATTAAAAGAGATAGATGAAACTTATTATAAAACTATAATGAATAGCAAAGGATACGTTCCACTCCTTCCACACGCTAATACATCTATTTAAACCAGATTTGTTTTCGAACATCCATCTAATTTTTATAAAATAAACTTGATTCGTTGAAATCATTATCCCCTTCTTGCTTATTGCTCAAGTGAAATGACCAGTTCCAGGTAACATACGAATTTAAGCCCCCCCCCCTTCCGTGGGGGAGGGTAATGGAATCATGATTAACCAATTACATCTCCATTAATCCATTAACTGATGATGATGACGATCAGAACAACGACGAGGACGACGAATACTATAGAAATGAATTCTTGATGTAAAATAGGGCATGTTTCCACCTCTGCTGGGCACTCTGTTTCCTTCTTTATGTAAATATTAATCTCAAAATTAAGCCGTTTCGCAGCCAGGGGTTTAACGTACAAGGACATAAACTAATGTTTATGCCTAATGAACAACAAATTGGCATTTGGTTAAATGTGTTTATTGTCTCTTCCGAAATCCTGTTTTACTTTTTACTCTTTTGACAAACGCTCACGGTGGTAGACTAAGTAATGACTCGCAGTTCATATATTTTGGATAATGTAAAATATAGAAGAAGAAAAAATCAAATGTGTTTACACATGTATGATATTTCCCCCCCCCCCCCCAAAAAAAAAATGAAAGTGTTTATTTTATTAATGCTCGGACATATTGTTTTGAAAATTAAATAGATAAGTAAAACGAAGGACAAACAATAATTAAGAAGGGGGGGGGGGGGGGTTAAAGGAAACCTCACCCCCAAGAAATAACTTTAACTATTCTTAGAGGTTTATTGTATTCTTGCCCATCAACATACAATTTTTCCCATCAAAGTGTAAGTGAGTTATAAAGCAAGATATTTTTCGGATCATCACTTTCTTGATAACGTGACGTGTTACTCGAGGTCGTTTATCAAGTAAAAATATTACAATTCATGAATACTTCCCATGTGTGGGTGGTGATATAGTATTGGTGCATGATATGTACAAGTAAGCCTGGTACGTTACATTACCATGAAATGGCTGTGTCCATGTCATGCTAAAAGGCATAACCTCATGCAAACACTATCTTTAATAATTTAAAAATTTCTTGCACATTTTCGTAAGAAATATTGTACATCAATAGGCATGCCTACACTTTACAGATAACTTGGAAAAGGGGACTACGTTAAGAGCGTTACGTGAATTGATAAGCCCCCATATTTCAAAGATTTCGGAAGGTTAGTACCAAATAATTAAACAGTTTATCAAAAAATTCTGAATCGTAAAGGTTATTACAATAAATTATTAAATCTACTCCTGACAAAATGGATTACCAATCTCTATTCAGTAAGACCATTTTCAATTTTAATGGTATTTCAAAGTTTTGACGTCAATTACCGATCGAAATTGCATTTTGTAAACACCTTGTAGCACTATAATGACAGAAGTTTCATTCCCTGTTATCTTGGTTATGGCACTAAAAACGTCTCTGAGGCCGTAAGGGTACTTGCGTTTGTGCTTACACTATTCGACTTTCATCTTTGACCCAGAAATGAGAAATCAAAATTCGTTCCGGGATCTGAAGTATCCGTTCTGGAAATGACCAGATCATTAACCCGAAAGAAAACAAATAATGGACGTGCAAAATGTCCATAAGGTCCATAAGGTAGGCATGATTTTTGTTTCGATTTTCCTCATTATCTTTTAATAACTTCATTGTTTTCTTAAAGCTAACTATGAAATGATATCTGGGGTTAGAATAGAGGTCAAAGTGGGTGAAATATAAGTCCATATTGTTCCTCCGGGGCTTAGTCCCCTGACCCCGCCCTTTACCTCAAGGGAAGATGTGGCATTTTGTTCCTTTACCCGTGAAACTGGAGAAAACCTAGCAAATTCCTCATCTTTCCCTCTCTCTCTCTCTCTCTCTCTCTCTCTCTCTCTCTCTCTCCATGTGTGTGTGTGTCTCTCTCTCTATCTATGTCTCTCTCTCTCTCTCTCTCTCTCTCTCTCTCTCTTCTGACGTGCATATTCTTATTCCGCATTGACCTCATTGCCTACCAGTACCGTGTCTATATTTTGTCAAATACTTGCACAAATTAGCGCGTGTCTCTTTAAAGGCCATGCCATTGTATACTAACTTAAAAGTTTACGCAAACAGCTTACGGGAGATAAGGAGGAATCGTCCCATTTACTTACAGAATAGTTATGTAACATGAGGAGATTTGGTAACGTTTCATAACAGCGTAACAGCCATATGGTTCTTGTACTGGGCGACTGATGCTGATCGAATTTATAGGATACTGGAACACCTTGGTGAAGGAGGGAAGAGAAACAGCGGAGGCATTTTAGAATTGTTCTAGGGCGGACTTGGAAAGAAAGAATAACCATGAAAGAAGAAATGGACATCGACGAGGCTGTTAAGTCGGGACGGCAACGGTGGTCGACATCTGCCGTGGTCGCCGTCGCTCTCGGCATCACCCTCATCCTGGTACCCCTCTGCGTCTGTCTTACGTACTTCCTTCATCCAGGTTACGGACTGAGCGATACCGACGACGACAGCCCCTTCGAACCTTTGCCAGCCGAACCCGACGTCCGTATCAACTGCATACCGGACAGGGACCAGTCGCCCAACGAGGAGCTCTGTTCTAATCGCGGTTGCATGTGGATGTCGCCGTACTCCGAGGGGCAACCATGGTGTTTCTTCCCCGAGGACTATGGCGCATACCATGTCATGGTTGAGGATAATATGAGCTGGGGTACTCGGATACGTCTCGAACGGCATGCTGAGGTGCCTTCGTTTTTCGGCGGTGTCATTCAAACGTTGATGATTGATATTGAGCATCAAACGAATGACAGAATCCATTTTAAGGTTAGGCAAAAGCCATTCTTTGTTGATTGTTTAATTTCTTCCGTAACTGGTTCATTTTGTTTGTCCTTTTATATTCTTTAACAATTCCTCTGTGATATGCTTAGAAGAGTGTCTATATATAGTATAACAAAATTAATACAAAGAAATTGATACGATCGTACATGCGCTATCCAAAGCAAAGACAACGATTGTGGAATTGAAACCGACTGTGGGGACAAAATGAAGAGCGATGAATCCAATAATAATAATAAAAACGTTTTATTTACCCAGGGTAGCCACTTCAGTTATGAAACTGCTCTTCCAGCGGGCCCTGCATAACAGAGAGAGAGAGAGAGAGAGAGAGGGAGTGAGAGAGAGAGAGAGAGAGACGCATCTTCCCGATATTATTCCTACCAAAACACAACTTTATTTGGTTTGTTGAATCTGATTCAAGTTTTATAAAATGTAGCTGTTTGCCTTTAGGCATTTCAAATGTCATTACTTTCGTGCTATTTCTTTGTATAACCCCGATTAAACAAATGAAGAAAAAAAGTAAATGTTTTCTTTGTAAATATTGGAGAAGTGACGAGCATTCATGTGTATAGAGCATGTAGACTGTGAGGAAGACACACGAAAATACAGACAAGTTGAATGAATCAGAATAAAGGGAATAACAAAGAATACGAAGAAAAAAAAAGCTTTCGTATAAGCCGCCAACACACTAACACTTCGATCTTAAATCACGTTTGACCCTAGGCCTATACATTGGTAAATTGAAGGCAGTTGTACATGTATATCCGACATAAATTGGTGGATTTCATTCGATACTGGGTATTGTCACACCATTCTATGTCCGGATAGTATCTTGCATTATAAAATCATCTGTCATTGACACTTTACTGATTAATTATCTTACAATACATGCCCATTTTTTTTTAGGACGAACAATGTTTCGGTCCTATCCTTTCTAGCCAGTGCCATCATGGTGGCGGCAGATATAGTCCCCACTGCGGCAAGTGATTTCCCCCTGCCACCCCCCCCCCTCCACCAAATCTGCCTTTTGACTGTATTGCTCTTGATCACGTTGATGGAAAGAATTATCACAGTCACTGTCAGCCCAACACCCACCCCTCTATTTATTTGTGGTACATGGTTCAATACTACTTTTTTTTCTTATTCTTTTTTAAATTCTCTTTATTCTGATTCATTCAATACTTTTACTTTAGTATTATATCCCATATTCTGTGATCACTTGTATATCAGTTCGTAACGTTAACGATTATTCAATGTAATCACAGACAGGCAGGACGGATCAAAGATTGCTCAAAGAGAGAACGAGAGAGAGAGAAGGGGGGGGGGGGGGGGGCAATTTCGAAAACTTAATCGGTAAAGGGGCACAATTTTGTTGTGTTCTATGTGTATGCCAATCTGGTTTCTGAGGGAGTGGGGGCATGGGCCGGATTTGCCCCCACCCCGATTTAAAAAAAAAAAAAAAATAACAAATAAAATAAAAATCCGCCGCTGTTCGCATCATTTTACAAAACCATTATAAATCGTAAATGAAACAAAGACCAAGTTAAGAGGTAAAGTTAGTAACCGTAATGTAATAAAACGCGACAGCCACCAAAGCACGAGCGGCGGATAAATACTTGATACTTTTCTTAAGGATTGTATTTTTAATATTTCTTTTCTACCTTTCTTTCCCTCAGATCTATAACCCCTCAGAACCTCGGTTCGAAGTCCCTGTCGAGATGCCATCACGGCCAGAAATGAAGGCTGAGAATCCAAACTATGACATCATGTATACCACCAACCCTTTCACACTCAAGATAACCCGGAAATCTACAGGAGAAGTATTGTGAGTAACCCTTAGGGAAGTCTCACCACACGATGTATACATCGGACTATTTTAACTGAATAAGCTCTGTTCATACATGCAGCGGTAAACAGCTGTGGTTTGGATGTTATGAACACATTAGGTGAATACGCTTTCCATTTTCCGTATCATATAACAATGGTAACACAGAGCTCAGCGAATAGGATCTACAGTCTAGGATCTTTGTATGACATGTACGAGTATTTGGGCCCTCACTCACACGCGAAAATTCACGGCAGAATTAAGCGTGGCAATTATTGCATTTACACCCAGTTTACACACACACTTGACGCAGACATGTACAGGATAACTTGTAAGATAATTTTCACACAATTTCACATAATTATTCCCCCAAACTACTACCGAAAAAAGATAAACTTTGTTAAAAGTGTTATATTGACATAAACTTCGATTCCCCTCTGATTACACGCATAATTCGTGTAATCAGGCTCTATCTTTACCCATTGGCATTAACCAAGTGGTTATTTTGCCAAAATATGACATTTCTCATACAAGACCGAATTTTTTAATATAAAATCATCGCAGATCGTGATCTCGATTTAACACAATGCCTTGGTTTAGCTTTCATATAGGTTCTACAACTAACCAGTTCCCAACTTGTACCTTTAACCTAGACTATCAGTGGCCTATCTTGATGTTAACCCCAACCCTTCATTCATAAACCTTACACTTTAAATACGCCTTTCAAGATGATAACCCTAACCCAATCGGAACTCTAACTAATAACCGTAGACTTTAGACGAAATGAAGCGTTAGAAGAATGCCACCAGCGCATTTCATATCAAACGCTTGAAATATTATGGTGATACAACCTAACCTATGTCTTTGGAGACCCGTCTTGATCAAATACATATCTGAAAAATCCTTTATTATTTTTATATTTGTTCCTCCAAGTCACCATACATTCAAAGACGAGGGCATTTTCAAACATCCGTATATGTTTTCAAAATATTTATCAGTATTGTTTGTTGCACGCACTTCGGTTGAGCACACTCTATCAAGTAGTGAACACAGTCTCTGTTGACACGAGTATTTTGGTTTGTCATTATGTCGAAGAATCTACAGAACACAAATTTAGATCGGCATTTGACATAAACGAAATGAAAATTCATCTCCTGGTGTCTGTTCATGAATTCCCAAGAGGTTCTTTTTCTATTTTGGATATGAATATGACTAACGTATAAAGCAGTGTAAGTCTATAGATCTATCCACGATACTTAGAATTCGCACGCACGTAATGTACACAAATTTCGTTTGAAAATGATCATCAAGTGCTTTCCACCTCGGAGTAAAGGAAAATGTCATGCACGTCAAATATATATTCATATTGAAATTCTGTCTTTATATTCATATCCGCATAAGTCTTCTGAAAAACACATTAAGAACGCAAAAATAGAGTTTTAACCAATCTTAAAAAAGGAAATCCACCAAGACCAAACTATGGAAATACAAAGGAAATCGATATTTGTAATACTTCGTTGCACATTATCATGTTTTCCTCTTGAAACAGACTCATTTTTGACCGAGAGACTGCAATATCCGTTAAGGATCGCATCATCGTACGGTTTTCTCAAATTTCCTTCGACCTCTCTCCTTTTTCTTTTTCTTTTGACCTTTTTCTCTACCTTTCTTTCTCTCTCTATCTCTCTCTCTCTCTCTCTTTCCCCCTCTTTTCTTATCTCTCTCTCTCTTTTTCTCTCTTTCATTCTTTTTACTTTTCCGCCCCCACCCCCCATCCGTAAGAATTAATTTTGTTTTGATAATGAAAACAAAATATTCAATGTAGTAGTTTTCATTTACATTAATACTGATCGAATTTCCTACAATGTTTGGTTTTGTTTTCGATCATCATATATGAAATATAAACATAACAACACAAACAGAAAAAAAACTAAAATATGCAAGGACTATTCTAGAAAACAGGTGTAAAACGTTAGACCTTTCGCTTCCTCTTAGCTAGATAACAGTTCACACACGGTACCGTCGTAATTATAACATTTAAGTTTGCGAAACCTTGAAGTTATAACCAACGATCCACTTAACCAAGACGAGAGTTCACACGGAACCGAAACAGCGAGTATTCAAAGTTTTTTTAAACTACAAGCTGGCATAACCTCGAAATGTATTGGGTCTGCACAGCACATAACATAACTTCGAGTGAGGACCCCCCCCCCCCCCCCCGCTCGTAGTTTTGTAACCACGAGTGCGTCTAAATGATCCCTAACTACAAAATAACTACGAACTTTATAGATGCGATCTTAACTCAATGTTAATTAATCGTCATGAGAACCTTTTTATTATTATCTCGAAAAAATGGTGCTCCGAAATTTGATTTAATTTATTTATTTGATTTAATTTCATT